TGCGCCAGCTAAGGTAGTCCCGGAGGTCCGGGGGGTCGTTCGAGGACGTGATTCCGTTGTTGATCAAGGGATCAAGTCCGTGGCGGAACTTGGTCACCTTGACCAATGCGTCTTCGAATTCAGCGAGGTCCATCAGGTCCTCGAAGTCGTCGGTGTACTGGTAGACATCCTTTGTGCCCATGTGATAGGCGGAAGTCTCCAGTTTGGAGAGAGCATGGTCTTGCTCGTTCTCCTCGACGAACCGGAGTCGAAACTCAGAAACGAACGAGCCCCAGGACGGAAACGGAAACGGGGCTTTGCTTCCGTGGCGCTCCGCCCATTGCTGAGCAGGTCCTTCTGCCATAAACAACATGGCATAGCGGACGGCCTTTTACTCGCTCGCCTCTCCGTTGACCACGAAGGCCTCAGGGGCAAGGCGGGCGTAGGTGCGGACCGCATAGAGGAACGCGCGGCCGCGTTTCCGATTGCCATTGAAGGTGAACGGGGGGTTTGGTCGTAAGACCAATTTTGAGGCGAGGTTGATGTCACCAAAGAGGGCCTCGGAATCGCCCTGGACCGAAGTCGGAGTCGGAATCGACGTCTCCGGTGGTGGTGTTTGGGGTCCGCTGTAAACCCGCTGGTTTATATGTGTAACACTCACTCATAGTGTCACTCATTGTGTGACCATCAGTAGTCATTCTTGTGCTGTACCTCGTCGTCCTTGGAATCCACAGCCCGGTCCTGTTGACTTGCTGCGTGTCTCCCTCAGTGTTTCCTGTTGGCAGCAGGCTTTCATCCGCCAGCAGTATTAGCAGCGGCAGCGGCAGCGGAAGCCTGGGTGGTGAGGAGAGTAAGGGCCTCAGTTAGGCGGTCGATTTTCGCCTTGAGTGCATCCAGCCGAGTGTCAGCGTCAGGAGTAGCTCCGGAAGGCATGACAGGTGCGGAGACGACAGGAGTGACAGAGGAGGAGGGGACAAGTGGTAGGGGTGGTGACGAGGGCGGAACGGACTTGTACTCCGAGCCTGAGTCAGCGCCGAACCTAGCAATCTTGTCCGGTTGATCCCGTAGAGAGTTTCTTCTGCTGTAAGGGCAACCCCGGAGGCCTGAGATCAAGGTCCTAGCAGGGGAGGATCCAAAGAGAAGAAACTCTAAGGGTCCGCCTGCTAGGGAGCTGACTATATACTGCTTGTCCGTAGCTGCCGCTGAGCGGCACAGAAGGCCTGGGCGGCGTCGCAGGCAAGGTCCCAGGGCGACCGTTGGGAGGGCGTTGACAGATCGGTGATTGTGCGCGCGAGATGGAGGGCCGGACCGAAGTCGGAACCGGAATCGGAATAGTCTCCGAGGGGCCGAAAGGGAGGTTCCCCTGACAAGAGTATGGCATGCATCACAACAATCTGGCTCTATTCAGAATCAGGAGTGTCAAAATAATATTCCAAGTCAGACTGTAAGAGCTATATATATATTGACTATTCTGCTATTCTAGTTTGCAACACAAGCTGATATTGAGAATCTGCAGAATCAAATGAATAAAGGACTTCATCAGTTATTTCAATTGATTTCTGAAAACCAATCCTCTCGTCTGTTTCCTTTTACCGTATATATCTTTTCTGATATAATATTCAATTTAGGAAGCTCTAGACAGAGTTCTAGACAGAGTTCCAGAGCACAAACTCCCAATCTATCCAGAAATCAGGAGTCTGGAGCACCATCTACCATTCCCAAGTCTTTTCATCAACACCACCAGGATCTGCTCCACCAGTGCCTTCTAGGCCTTCACCACCCAGACCTCCACCTCCACCACCCAGACCTTCTCCACCTCCACCACCCAGACCTCCACCACCACCACCACCACCTCCACCTCCCAACCTGGACCCTCAAATCATTATTCATCTCAACACTTTAGCTCCTTTAGCTATCTAGGATTAAGCAGACCCTATCCAGTATCTTCCCCTAAAAGAACTGGTGGTGCAAAAAGACAAAATGCGGATATTCTGACATTATCAGTAGGCTCTCTTATGATTATAAATATGCTTTGCTAACTTGATTTATTAGAGAAATGTCTGCAAAGAATTTGACAAACTAGTACCTTATAAATCTCAAATTATTTCCTCTGTGGAACCATATGAGATTGTTGATTTTGAAGTCAATCTTGAGCCGCTGGGATATGAAGCCACAACACTTCAATTTTTTCGATTTCATCTAGAGGGAAAAGCAAAATCTCCCTGGAATAAATCTTCAGCTCGTGTCTTTGCAAAATATATGATTCAGGAATATGGCTATCCAAACACATATGCCATGACTAATGCAATTTGCGAGTCCTTTGCAACCTATCTATGGACTATTCAGAAGTGCTGGAGAGAGTCCAAAAAGGAAGCAAGTATTCAATTGCACAACAAGGTCAAAAATTGATGCCAGGTTCGGAAATACCAGGTATGAACATCTATATATACTAAACAGTTTGCTTATCTTTTCTCTAGCTGGCTTCCGTGCCCGTCCAGTGGTCAGCGGGCATTTGGCTTTCCTTATTATGTAGTGTCGCTTGTAAGTAGCTACAGTAGGGTATAAAATTAAAAAGTCGAAGTCAAGGTGAAATTGGGATAAGGATGGGTTATCTTCCTGTGCGCTTCGCTCAGTTTGGCCGTGTTCCCAAAGCCGATAACACACACACATATATATATATGGAGGTACAGTAGTGATAGATAGTATGGTATCTAAGTACGTACGTACGTACGCATAAAGTAGATTATCTGTGTTGGTTGATAATACGAGGACAAGAATGCGACTAATCTCGTTTCTTCGAAGGATCAAGGTTTTGCTTCTTGAGCTATATTCCGTCTATGTAAGCCATGCATTGAAGGAGGAGGCACAACATACTATCACCTCCGCGACCTAACCGTGTGTATAAATAATGGGCAGCAGAAGACAAGCAAGTACCACACCGTAGCAAGGTCAGTCCTGTACAATTTACATTCCATTTCGACTTTGGTGACTTTGATGGACGTATTAGGAAAGACTTGCACGTGCCTGCATCCTTCTTGTTCATAACCATCATGTCATTCCCAACCGAAAACGAAACATCAGCACAAGAGGCACAACCCGCTAGTAGGAGGTATAAACTTCGACGCGACGTTCGTCTCTTCGCTGTTGGATTTGTCATGGAGCGGGATGAAATGGTCGAGCTCGGCAAACGCGCTATCTCCCGAGTATATCAAAGGCTATCTCTCCCACGTCGAACGGGCATTCCAATTTGACCTCGACGAACACTCCTTCGAGGCCCTCCCCATCACCATCGACGGTTCGCCCCGGGTATGTGATGGCACTCCATTTCTATCCCTGGGTCCTCCCCAGCACCGGCATACCCGCCCCAAGCCAATTGGCCGACATTCCACAAAAGCAGTTGGACGCGTGGCAAGAACATTATGGCAAATATGCACCCGACGGCCGCACGTATCCGCTCAAAACGATTCCATATCCGCCTAACATGGGCATGATACACTTCTTGGGCGCCTACGTTAATGACCTTGTGCACAAGTATCAGCTTTTGGAGTTCTTCGTGCCTAGTGATCAGCATTGTATGTCTTACTCTGTTCTAAGGCTCAAACTGATGTTTTATATCAGCTTGACGGGTGGAGGTGAGGAGGTGAACCGTGTTAGCCAGGAAGTTTGGGATAAATCGCAGGCTGTCGGTGTACAATTGGTGGATGACAACAAGGCGTCGTCGCGTCGCCGTATTTTTGAGCATTAGTTGTGAGCTGGTCTAGGTCCATCGTGTAAAGCTGTGTGTGTGCGTGAATTCTTGAATTATTTTTCTTCTCTCTTCTCCTTCGATGTCACTTTTTGTCATCAGTAGCCAATGGAAACGCGTCAATCAAAAGTCAATTCGCCTGACTCACGCGACTTTGTGCTTGACCATGGCTTTCGCACCATTGCGTCCCCCCAGACCAGTCGCCAGTCAAAGTAGATCCAAATTTCACTCTACCGCAAGCAGATGGCTTTACCGTGCGTGGCACAATATCCTCCCAGTCCCTCGCTTCATTTGAAACTTGCCCAGTCCCCCACCTTCCGCCTTCTCAATAAACAGTCTCGTGTCACTCTTTCTCCCGAGCCCTTGGCTCCCTCGAGAGGACCTTTGCAACTACCCACGCGAATGGAGGCTGGTTCGCAGCCTCAACCTCCAATGGTCTGTGGACAAAATCTCGTCGTTTTAATTCCAATTCCAATTCTTCTTTCCAGGTCTTATCGTCTCTCCATTGAAAAAGCTGAAGGAAGCATTCAAGACAGGTGGCGATGGAATTTTCCAACCCGATATCATTTTGCCCTGTAATCCCGTCGCAACCGCTTTTGCTTGTAATGCTACGCGCTCTGGCCCGACTAAAAGACGGCCAGGTTGTCATCTATGACACTGGGGCTTTGTTCTTGTCCTCTACACCATCAAGCCCACTTCAAGTGTATCAGGCTTCCTCGGGTCTACCTTTACAGATATTACCCAATCCCTGCAATGACGGAGATCTTGCTCAACTCGTGGTCTATTGTAAGGATGGACGGCACAGTCGAAATGTTGGATGCCCAAATGCAAACTAAGGGAGCATGGCGCGCAACAGATGCTGATAACTTACCTGTCGCTGGTATGTTCTATGTGCTTTTTTGTTACCTTCGTCAAATTCTCATGACCATCAGCATCTTGGTCTCCAAAGGGGAAACAACTCGCAGTTGGCTTGCGATCCGGCGATATTCTTACATTTGGATTCAATAACGCGGCGCCCCTCCAACACATCCCCCTCCACAGCCAGCCCGCCTCTTGTTTCTCTCGATTGGCTTGGTCCCGCATTCACATTTCGCACTAGCTATTTTTCCAACCAGCCTGCCCATCACATCGTATCCTTAAACCACCAGTCAAACATCACAACTGTCGTGCAACTCGCTCACCCATTCCCCTCGCCTGAACGAACTCCCAACTCCCGAGTCTTAATTTTATACCCCGTTGGGATTTTGAGGCTTCTGGTGGTCCCGAGACTACACTGATGGTAGTTGGCGATAATTCGTCGACCGATCTTGAAGTTCACGGCTCTGCGGGGTCTGCGTGGTTCCAACAGTCGCAGGAAAATCCGCTCACAGTGCCCCTGGACAAGAACGACGAAGATACTTACCTTCTATGCCTTGAGTCGGACTTGACCAATGAAATGCCCATCATGTTGGCATATCTCAATGATGGCACAGTCCAGGCATGGTATATCACCCATCCCGACTCTAAGCCATACAATGGACTGATTCAACCTCCTCAACCCGCGGCGCCGAGTCCCTTCTCACAAACAACATCCGTCTTGGGGCAGTCATCTTTCGGGCAAAGTTCCGCTCATGCCTCGCCATTTGGACAGAATTCCGCACCGGTTTTCCCCAGCAATCCGTCGCCTTTCGGAGGAAGCTCCTCCTCAAGCACTGTTGCTTCGCAACCTGTAGCGCCACCCATGTCCGCCACCCCCTCAATTTCGATGGGAGATAATACGGGCCCTTCTTTTGGTGGTTTGTCCCTGGGCGCATCGAGCTCAGACAGCAAACCAAAATCCACCACGGGAGGTTTATTCGGAGGTTTTAATTCTTCGCCCAGTCCCCTTCCACTGCTCCCAAATCATCCAGCCAACCAACCAGCAAATCCAGCCCCTTCAAAATTCTCAGATCCGAGTTTGGTCAAGCCTGCCGCCGGGTTTGGTGCATTCGGTGGCGCATCCACCGGTGCCTTCAGCAATCCACAACTTCCGTCCTCGAATGCATGAACTGGGGGTGCTTTTGGCGGGAATACGACCACAAAAGATTCAATGCCAGCATCATCCTCATTTGGCAAATCTGGCTTTGGACAACCTGCTTTTGGACAACCTGCTTTTGGACAACCCGCCTTTGGGCAACCCGCCTTTGGACAGCCCGCCTTCGAACAAACGAGTTTTGGCTCTAAACCGGCCTCAACTCTTGGGGCACCTGCCTCTGGTGGGTTTGGTGCTTTTGCTGTGACGGGTACATCTGGTTTCACGTCTACTCCGACACCATCTTCGCCGTCTCCAAATGTCGCGCCATTCCCCTCTCCAGCCCAATCTGGCTTTGGTGCTCCTGCGTCAGTAAACAGTGCCTTTGGCGCCAACCACAAGCGTATTTGTCCCACTTGTCTCCCTCTCCAGCTCAATTTGCCTTTGGTGGGACGCCAACCACAAGTGTGTTTGGTAAAGCCTCCACCCCTTCGACCCTAGCCTCCGCATTTTCTACATGGACGACCAGTACTAGTTCAGTCTCCGGACCATCTTCGCCGTCACCAACCCCAGCTTCAACTAATGATAGTCCTTCGCCGTTGAAATTTACCAATAGCACCCCTTCGCCGCCAACTACTGGGGCATTCAGTAACTTGAAAACCGCAACCACGGGATTCAAACCTGCCGAAGGCTTCGGCGCTTTGGTAATAGCATGCCAGCGTCGTCGCCTTTCTATCAACCGGCTTCTCCTGTGGTATCTGCGTTCGACGTCTAATCCTTTGACGCCAGTCTCTGAAAAGCTGGCTTTCGGAGCCACATCTGCGTTGGGTACTCCGAAATCCGCTTTTGGACCAATATCAGCGTCGTCATCCTCTTCTGTCAGTGCATTCAGCGCATTTGCGCCATCGGGTGGTAATTTTACTCCGGCCGGAACACGTTTTCAATCTGCTAAAAGCCGCCGACGAACAGAGCATTGACTCGCCCTGTAAGATCTCAGTAGCTGACTTGTCCTCTGTACTCATCCAGATTACAGCTCCAGCCACGACTGTCCAACCACGATCGTCATTTGGTTCATTGTCACTGGGCTCAGAAGGGGGCTTCTTTGTTGGAAGCAGAAGCGGACGGCGTGGATGGTGCAGAAGATAGTCAAGACGAGCCACCGGATGATGATGGCTTTTTGTCGGAGAGCTTTGGCTTCGGAAGATGATGATGATGCTTATTCGCGATCGCCTTCACCAACTACTGTGCCATTACCGCCTTCCCGCTCCCCTTCGTCGACTCCCAACGCTGACGCGCTCAAGCCACATCCTTCATCATCGACGCAGTCGGACGGTGATGAATCAGATTCTTCAGAAGAATCTCGTCTCTCTACTATCCGAGAAGAAAGCGAAACGCCGCCAGGAAGTCCCGAAAAGAAACCAACACCACCATCTGCCCCACTTGCTGCACCAGTTCCTATCACACCGTCTCTTGGAATTGGTTTGGGTAGGCCGAGCACAAGACCTGCCAAGAGCTCACCTCTCGCCGCTGCACCTATGTCCAGGGATGAAGCCGAAAAACTTACTCCTAAGACGTGGCCCGCTTCTCCTAAACTACCGTTCGGTGTTCTTCCTCCACAGCCAAGACACCGGATACAACGCCCAAGCCTTCACGCCCAAAGACACCTCCACCTCCACCTTCAGCCTTATCCTTTGCCTCAACCCCAGCTCCAACATTGCGGGAAACCACAAATCCCCTTCAGAAGGTCTGCCGCTTCCTACCTTCCCCGAACTCAGCCCAATACTATCTACTCCAAGTCCATCACCAACCGGCCCCAGTAATTTCTTCGTAGGCCGATTGCAAAAACTCCCGAACCATCGGCAATATCAACACCAATTAAGGGAACTCCGTCTATGCCCTTCATTTCAGTACCACCGCCACCAACAGTCGTTCCATCTCGAGCTGAGCTTTCGACAATGGAGGAAGGAATGCAGAAGGAATGTGCATTGCTGTTCGCGGCAATGGCTAGAGGACTCGAGGATGTAAGTGGTCTTAACTGTGCTGGTTAATCTGCTCATTTTTTACAGTTCAAAATACTTGCGCAGACCGCAAGTCAGAAGCGAGTTGAGTTGGTCAGCACGACCTTCTGATACAGGTGAACAGTCTAAATGGTCACTTCGTCTCCAGACGAAGGCTCAATGGGAGAAACGAATTCGAGATTTGGAAAACAACCTGTTGAAAGGTATGTGACCTATGAAAAATGTATCTAGTCTTCTGATCTATATCGCAGGGGGACATGACGAGAGGAGGTTGGGAGGTTCCTGAAAGCCCAGCATGACAAGGACTTTGCCAAAATGTTAAAAGCACGCTCTTTGGGACCCGAACATCTCGAAACCCAGACTCATTTGCGGAGAACTGTGCGGGTTAGTTGCTTCTTTAGGTCCGTAAAAGCCTTAGTGATGCATTGTCAGGCTGTCCAAGATCGGGTTCAAAAGCTCGAATCACATTTGCACGAGCACAAGAAACGACTGAGCAGGGCTGATAGCGGAAAGCCTGGGCTACGGTGTGTACTATAATTTTCTGACTTGTTTGTACATTGAACTTCTAAAGTGCTCCGACCTTGGACACTTTGAATCGCACATTCGAAACATGGATATGGCTCTCGACAAGCAATCACATGACGTAGAGAAAACTACATACCCGAATTAACAAGCTCAACCTGGCCAATCCACACACCAATGGTTCCAGTGGCCGCGACAAGAGATTACCGGATCCTGTTGGTCGGCAACGACCGCTGAATGTCATGCCCGATGTCGCAATACCGACTGCTGCTGCCCTCAATGCGGAACGCTCGGCTCACAAATTGAAACGAGCATTGTTGGGCATCAGGAAACAACCACTCCTCAACACGCAAGCTGCATCCGCAACCCCACCGCCACTCAGTTTCCAAACACCACAACGAGGTTTCCCGATCCAATTTGGACTTGACCCAGTCACGCCTATGATGGGCTTTGATTTCCCGGAGCCCTGGCCATTCGCCTGCGACACCATCGCCGCCTACGTTTGACTGGGGACCGTTACCGACATCAGCCCATGAACGGCGCGGCGCTCATTGGACATTTGATGCCGCTGGATATGTCGCATTCGTCAAGGCCTGCGACAGCTTTTCACCTCAGAAGTTGTCATAAAAGCCCCGACTTTCTCAGGTTCGATGCCATTCTCGTGTCGAAGCACATCATCGACTTGTCATTATCGAGGGCCTCCACACCTACCTCTCCATTGACCCATGGGTTGAGGCTCCCGATGTGTTGGACGAACGCTGGTTTCTCCGTGTTGATGAGGCAGAAGCGTGTCGGGGACTTGTGAAGCGCCATGTCGAAACTGGGGTGTGTCGGGATGCAACAGAAGCAAAACAAAGGGCAGAAGGAAACGATTTGCCCAGTGAGTATTGTGTTTGCTAACCGCTGCAGAATTAGATGGTCGCTTCATCGTCAAGAATATGCTCAAGCCGACAAAATATATCGACAGCATTCAAGACTCTGTCATGGCGCGAGAGCTAGAATCGCAATGAAGACTGCATCGCTTATCGTGTACTCCTTGAAGTCTCCTTCCTATTCGGTATGGTACATAGGATAATGTGACACGGCCCCTCGAATTTTTTTCTGCTTGAATCAAGGTTGCATCAAACGCGACATTTGCGGCACAAAAAATGTGTGACAGTGTAAATTTAAATTTCTCTGGAAAACCCTGGACCCACCCTGCCAAGAGCAGCCGCTCGACGCGAGACCCGCTGCGTGGACTAGCCTTCCCCCCTTTTTTTTCAATTTTTTCATGTGCATCTTCTTTTGCACTTAGTTGCAGCACCAGCCGCGTCGTCCAGGGTTTTCCAGCCCCCGCTGCCATGGGCTGCCGCTCGCCGCGGGTCATATTCCAGAGATTGATCTCTAACGACCACAAGTACCGCTTATCCCTGTCTTTTTTCTCGGCAGGCATGTTAACATTGAGATAAAAGTATTCATGCATTATACACATATCCGTGCTATTTTCAAGATTCTGCCTCGTAAGCCCAACACAAACCATAGTCCTGCCACGTCAACTGGACTTCTCGGACAAAGCTGCACATTTCTTCATGGACTGCTTTGTGATATACTGGGCACCAAGTCCTATTGTTCAGCAAAATTGGGTCCAGCATCTTGCTTTCCGATTTGTAGCGGAAAAGGGCAATTTCCAAGCCCCTATCACGAAGCACGAAAGCACAAAACCGCATTTTAGGCGAGTCTTGTTTACCAAACGTCTGCGCATAACGTGTCAGTTGTTCAATGGCCAAATCTTGGTTTCGTAGTTTGCTTTCCCCCATAACAACCGGCACCTCAACGGCAATGTTTGCTACATCGAATGCTGAGAGTCCAGGATACCTCTCAGGAATGCGTGGGTTAGTTTCCTCGAAGAGTCCTTGGAAAATGACGGAGATATCTGGTCTTTGCAGACCCGAAGGGGTTGAATCAACCAAACGATAGGTCTTGTCCAGACGAGCATCTTTGATTTGACTTGATGGCAGACCGAAACCGTGGGTGGGCTCGACTGAGCTGGACTGTCAGGCAAAATAGGAAAGTCCTGTATACAGTATGTTCAATTGAGTCTCTGTAGGACTGGAGGAGACAAGACTGACCAATTCTTCTTGATAAATATATTGACTTCCATGCTCTCCCAACATCGACCACTCGGCCTGAATATTCATTGCATCCTCGGACACTTCAGCCCGATAGGTGTGTTGAGGCTGAATTAGGAACTGATGTGACATTGGGAAATAATGGCTCAGAAAGGCCGCGGCAAGCCGGTCAACCATTGACTCGTATGTGATACTAGGCTCAGTCGGAGGCCTGGACGTGTAACATACGCGTAAGAAATACGCGGGGAGAAGAGTCGGGATGTGGAGTGGATTGGGGTGCAACTCATATCTGAGCGATGGCGTGAACGTTAAAGTGGTTGCATGCAGCCGCCGCCGCTCCTTGTCTTGTTTTTCGAGGTCTTGAGCCAACTGTTTTGACGCTGTCAGTGGCTAGCAAATTACATGATCGAGGTCAATATTTCACCTTCGTTGCAAGTCCGGCAATTTCAGCGGCCGAACTAGCGGCCGAACTCGTCAGCGTTTCAACGTTCATAGCAAGTTTCTAAAGTGTGACGATCCCTGTGACACTACACACACGGACTTGAACCACCATCTCCCCTATTTTACACCAACAATGCGATGCTGCCAGTTGGGTCCGAGTCGTGGCAAGGACATCGGAGCCCAGCTCCGACAAGTGTCAAGAATGAGGAGTCAGGCCTTCAAGACATACGTACCTACGTAGCGTCATACTCTTCGTCTGGGTCCGGTTGGCCACTGACTGCTGCTAGAGCACAAAGGTGGCATGGACTCGGAGGAGTCGGAGTTCGGCGCTCAGGTGTTGCCCCAGAGCCCACAGAGCCCAAGAGCAATTATCCTGTCTCGTTGTTGTCGACTGTGTGGTTGTCAGGGGAACCTCCCTTTCGGCCCCTCGGAGACGATTCCGATTCCGGTCCAATTCCGGGTCCGACTCCGGTCCGGCCCTCCATCTCGCCCGCACAATCACCGATCCGTCAACGCCCTCCCAACGGTCGCCCTGGGACCTTGCCTGCGACGCCGCCCAGGCCTTCTGTGCCCGACAGCGGCAGCTACGGACGAGCAGTATATAGCCAGCTCCCTAGCAGGCGGACCCTTAGAGTTTCTTCTCTTTGGATCCTCCCCTGCTAGGTCAGCTTCATTTGTATTTGCTTACCAATGTTCATGCTTTGGATCCTCCCCTGCTAGGACCTTGATCTCAGGCCTCCGGGGTTGCCCTTACAGCAGAAGAAACTCTCTACGGGATCAACCGGACAAGATTGCCAGGTTCGGCGCTGACTCAGGCTCGGAGTCCGAGTCCACTCCGCCCTCACCACCGCCCCTGCCACTTGTGCCCTCCTCCTCTGTCACTCCTGTCGTCCCCGCCACCTGCCATGTCTTCCGAAGCTGCTTCGGACGCCGGCACTTGGCTGGACGCACTCGAGGCGAAAATCGACCGCCTAACTGAGGCCCTTACTCTTCTCACCCAGGCTTCCGCTGCCGCTGCCGCCGCTAACACTGCTGGCGGACCCCAAACACCACCACCGGAGACGTCGATTCCAACTCCGACTCCGGTTCAGGGCGATTCCGAGGCCCTCTTTGGCGACATCAACCTCGCCTCAAAATTGGTCTTACGACCAAACCCCCCGTTCACCTTCAACGGCGATCGGAAACGCGGCCGCGCGTTCCTCTACGCGGTCCGCACCTATGCCCGCCTTGCCCCTGAGGCCTTCGTGGTCAACGGAGAGGCGAGCGAGGAAAAGGCCGTCCGCTATGCCATGTCGTTTATGGCAGAAGGACCCGCTCAGCAATGGGCGGAGCGCCACGGAAGCAAAGCCCCGTTTCCGTTTCCGTCCTGGGGCTCGTTCGTTTCCGAGTTTCGACTCCGGTTCGTCGAGGAGAACGAGCAAGACCATGCTCTCTCCAAACTGGAGACTTCCGCCTATCACATGGGCACAAAGGATGTCTACCAGTACACCGACGACTTCGAGGACCTGATGGACCTCGCCGGATTCGAAGACGCGTTGGTCAAGGTGACCAAGTTCTGCCACGGACTTGATCCCCTGATCAACAACGGAATCACGTCCTCGAACGACCCCCCGGACCTCCGGGACTACCTTAGCTGGCGCACCCGGGCCTTCCGTCAATACGAGGCCCTGGTCCGGGCCAAGCTGATCAAGTCAGCCGCCCCCAAGACGCCTGGCGGTTTGATTCGGACTTCGTTTCCGGTCAACCGCGTCCCGGCTCCGGCCCCTTTCCGCCCGGTGGCTCCGGTCATGCCACCCGCGGCCCGCGCCCCCGCTCCGGCGCCTCCAGCTCCCGTCCCCATGGAGTTGGATCGCACTAGGGCTCGGGGTGCCTCTCGCCGCGCCTGCTTCAGGTGCGGCGACCCAAACCATCTCGCCCGGGATTGCCCCCTCCCCGCGGATGTCCGCTCAATGGACATCCTCGACGAGGTGATCCAACAACTCGGTGACGAGATGTTAGCGGAGTTGATCGCCCGCTACTCGGACACAGCTGCACTGCCGGAAACGGCCGCGGAGTCGATGGCCGGAGAGGATTTTGTCCCCCGCGACGAGTGACTGGTGTGCCCTCGTTCGTGTCCATAAATCATTTCGCTTGTTTGTATGACGAATCAATTCCTTTGCCCTACAACGAGCCTGAAACGAAAGACATACTCTCCTCTGCCCCCGTTTCGACTCCGTCTCCGACTCCGCCCGCGACTCCGGTCATTGTCCTTCGCCGCCTCACTGCCTGGGAAAAGAAATTGCCCAAGCAGTACACTGTTGCCGCTGCCCCTGGAGTGAACTCCCTCCACCTCCCGTTGGAGCTAGAATCCACTACCAGCGCACTTAAGCTCTCGCTCTCTGGTCTGGTTGACTGTGGTGCCACCTCCGACTTTATCGACACGAACTATGTCACTCGGAATGGCATTCCGGTCCGCACCCTGGCGCAACCGATTCCGGTCTTTAACGTCGATGGTACTCCGAACGACACCGGCTCCATCAACCAGATCGCGGACTTGGTCTTACGCTACAAAGGCCATTCCGAGCGTGTTCAACTCGCCGTCACTCATCTTGGTAAACAAGACCTGATCCTGGGGTACTCCTGGCTGCGGAAGCATAACCCAGAGATCAATTGGGAAACCAAAGAGGTCAAGATGACACGGTGCCCCCGCGGCTGCTCCACTTGCCGCGAGGAAGAACGCGTTGAACGGACTGAGCTACGGCGACTCCGGCTGCTCCAGAAGCGACTCCGCTCCGGCCCGTTCCCCTCGATCTGCGCCATGGACCTCTCTGGGCCTGACGACGGAGACGATGCCGTCTCCGGTGACGACTCCGGCCTGCCTGATCTGATGCCGGACTCCGACGACAATGATAACGACGACGGACAGCTTGAAGATGGTGACCGCATCTTCTACACGTCCTTCCGTCCTGCAGAGGAGATACGCGCTGGCAGTACTGTCTCGCAGCGCCTGGCCGAAGCCTTCGCCAGGAACTCCGCCCCTCCGCCCTTCGAGATCCCGGACTGGGCTAAGGAGTTCCAGGACGTCTTCAACAAGGAGTCTTTCGACACGCTCCCGGAACGGAGGACCTGGGACCACGCCATCGAACTCGTCCCCGACGCTAAGCCAGCCAACTGCAAGGTGTACCCCATCTCGCCCCTCGAGCAACGCGAACTCGACGCGTTCATCGAGGAAGGGCTTTCGACGGGACGGATTCGCCCATCTAAGTCTCCGATGGCGTCTCCGGTCTTCTTTGTCAAAAAGAAGGATGGCGGACTCCGCTTCGTCCAGGACTATCGGGCTCTTAATGCGATGACCGTCAAAAACTGGTACCCCCTTCCCGCTGATCAACGACCTCATCAACCGGCTCAAGGGCGCTCGCTACTTCACCAAGCTCGACGTTCGCTGGGGCTTCAACAACGTCCGGATCAAAGAAGGAGACGAG